TCCTTTTCCCAACTTTATAACAGCCTATATACTCATCTGTTATACTGTCAGAATAGGCTGCAACTTCGCTATTACCTTCGTAAGCCTTAGAAAACTCAAGAAAAGCAATTCCGGTTCCCTCCATGTGACTGGCAGCCATCTTCATAAAATCATGATACACCAGTGCAAACAGCACTGTTACACTCAGAGTGAAGATTCATTAATGTAGCATTACATCCAGTATCTTCTTTGTATAACAGCAATATATCAGACCAGAGATATCAGACAGAGTTAAAATCACACAAATGAATCAGAATGATATTCAATTGCAATTAGCCACGCCTAGAGGTACAATGGAGGACTGAAAAGGTCTAAATGAGTGTTTTGTTCATTTGTGTCACTTAAGCGACAGAGTGCCAAAAAAGCAAAATGGAAATCATGCATGGTAAGTGTTGATAAGATTGTAATACATGAAACCAGTATTACATGTAACCTATGTGTGTGCTTTTGAGAAATAAGTAACTTTATCAAACTATTCCTTTCCTTCCTTATTGAGGTGGCTAGGTCCATTATGTAGCTGTTTTTTTTGTCTCCCTTTCTTACTTCCCAAGCCGATGAACTCGTTTTCTGTTTGTACTGTATATGTATATGTGGTTACTAGTAGTAATTGTCGTTTCATTTTTATCTGCGGTACAGTGTATTATAATAATAGTGCTATTGATATTATTAGTAGTATTAACGATGATCTATTTTTCAATGATAGTTATTGTACATGTAGAATATTGTTTCTTAATCATTATTTACGGTTTATCAAACAATATGTACATACGATGGCTTTGGAAGCCTTTTCTTTTGGATGTACTATGAAAATATCCATCATAAAATAAGACAAAATGCATGTTCAACTATTTACTTTAATTATCAGCCGTATGTAGCTCGCTACACATAATTATACACGTATGATATCTAGAAAATGAAATAGTATTAATAGTATTTAGTGACTGTTTTAGCATTAGTTTTGGAAAAGTTATTATCCACTGAAACTGTGACTGTACACAGTTTAATGAAACTAAGCAAATATTCTTAGTTTACCATACATTTATTATTTTAGTAAGCTACATGTAGGTCAAAATTGTTTTAGGTTTAGTTAATTTTTACTAAGAACAAGCACTGAAATAGGAAATGCATTAAGAAAGTTCTTACTTATTGTTTTGCTGATATCCATATCAACTTTGCTCAGTTTTACAGTTCTTGCCTTTGCTATCAGTTCCTTTTATAATTTTTGGCTATGCAAGCAAAGGCCTGTTACTAACCAACATGCAACACTTCATTTTAACAGCTCTAAGCTTGCCTAGGCTGTCAAGTTCTTGCATAATATCTTTGTGTGCATGTACTTAACTGTACATGGCAATGATGGCATTTTGAGGATGCTTTTGCCTATTCAGACCCATTTTACAAATTCACTACTAATTTACCATTGACTACAATTATTATAACTTGCCACAAAAATTTTGAGTTGGTTTTCTGATAACGTACATGTTTGTGAATGTATGCTTGTTAGTACGAAGTAGTAGCTTATAGTACTATATTAGTATTTGATAGTGATATTGGTTTAGTGTTGAAATGTAGTTCAAACACAAGTTTTGCTATATAAGTTGTCTAATATCATCTGTGAAGTAGTGATATGACTCTTAATCTTAATGTACATGTAAAACCCCCAATCTCCAGATATTTTATTGCTTATCAGCATTGCCAGTTTATTAGCCCACTCAAATTTGATCTGTTTCACTGGCGGAGAGGGCAGGTAGCCTCATTACAATTTTTTTATCATTGAAATTTTTATTTGCCAATGCGGGCGTGAAAGGTGAATATATGAATGTAATTGGAGTTGACTTAACTGTACGTTTCATTCTTCTTTTACCTTGCATGTGTATGTTATGTACCAAAATTAATGATTAATGCAACAAGTCATGCTTTTAGGCTTGCCTAAGCTCTGATTTAATAGCATCACAACGTGGCTCACGCATATTCCATGCTGTCACGTTATCTCTGTGTAATGATGAATGAGTGTAAAAAATCTACATGTACTAATGTCTATGACTGCTAATTTATACATACATATGCTGCAATTGATATTGATTACTCAACCCTGACCCTGGCCTTTTACTTGTATAAGAACTTGTGCCGTTTCAGTACATTGTTTTACTTTTTGTTTTAATAGTAATATATATGAATAACAATTCCTCTTAGTGAAACTTGTGGAATCCATTATTTTATAATTTAGTGAAATTTATCACATCTTGCTTGAAATAAATTTGCTGTTCATTGACATTATTACTTAATGGCACTTCCTTTGTGTCACAGTCACATGCAATTCACCACAACACTTCTCACTTTTCCTAATACTCTTGTCTCCTCTCTCTCTCTCTCTCTCTCTCTCATTACAGATGCTCATTAGTTCTTGTTGTTCACAGAGACTCGTGGCAGGTAATGATGATATTCATTATTATTTTACGTAGCTACATGTACATGTATGTTGTACAATGTAGATAGTTTGGAGTGCTTAATTTGGGTGAATTGCTGTGTGCCCATTGATCTCTTATTTAATCATATAATCTTCTCTCTTTTCTCTCTCTTCCTTTCCTCCATAAAGGAATGACACACGAGTGATATGCATTGGGTTGGATTTGGTGACTGTTATGTTGTAGTGTGGCGGGAAGAGTCTTGGGGACATTAAATCACTGAGAGTTCTCATGCAAGATGGACTCTACCATCACTTACTTACTGTAAATAAGCAACTTTACGAAATACATATTTCATTTTGTGTTAAATTGTATTTTGTTAGTTGCTTCAGAACGAATCTGTTGATGTTTTTGGTCACTCTTTGAGAAAGTGCTTTCTTCTTCTTGATTCAAATTGTCATGATCTCAAACTACAACTGCAGGTAAAGAAAGAAACACATACATGTATGTGGATCATTAGATACTTCTCTCTCTCTCTCTCTCCCTCTCCCTCTCTCTCTCTCTCAGTAGTTCCTTAATATGCTAAGGCACACAATACAATTAGATCAGTCAGGACTTCAAGCAGGCATTCAAGCTAACATTAGAATGTCTCATTCAAGTAAGAAAGAGTACATTTCTGTACACGAGATTCGTGACAGTTTAATAAATTTTATGTCTCTCTTTTATTTAGTTTTGTCACATTCATAATTTTGTATCAGAGTTATTTGTCAATTATGATTGCAGTACCTACTGTACTAACATGGGCGAGAGACTGAGCAAACTACTTGCTAAGGTATGTCAGCCATCAGCTGTTATTAAGCTTTGCCAATTACCCTGTACTATAGTGCGGGGCATTTTGCTAAAAATGATTAGGAAAAAATTGTTTATTTAATAATTTTTTTCTAATGCATATGCATTGTACATGTTCTTATGTTGTGTAGAAAGTTTGAGTTAATTCTGATCAAGATTGGATTTATAATGAATTTTTAAAGTTGTTCCAAAATCTGACTAAAGTCCCTGTACTATTATTGTACAGTGATTTTGACAAAATTTGCCAAAAATGAAAAGATGAGAATTCTCCATTTTTATTATTTTTTTCTGATACATATACATATACTTATGTTCCATATCAAGTTTGAACTGCTTTTCTCTCTATACAGCAAGCATTCTCCAGCTCTTATCACACCGTATCATCTACCAACTTTATTAGCACTGGAAACACTACTGACAAAGATACTGGCATTAGAATCAACCAACACCACCACTACTGATAATAATGATACCAATGATGGTGATACTAATAGAATGTGTACTAAAAATGGAGGGAAATTTGCAGGTGACTAATGAATGAGTGAGTGCCAATTCATCTGCTTGGATCATATTCTCATCAGATAAGCAGCAGCAGCCAGATATCAGTCTGAATGGAGCATAGGAGGTGGGTGGAGCTATATCAGAACCTAATATGGCGTTTTGGCCTTTTGTCACTTCATTTAACCGTTTTTCAGGGTAATTTCAATCATAATTGATCTAATTTTACATTTTTTGTGTTCCATTTGTAGGTACCGTCAAGGATCTGAAGTCCTTTTTCGTGGGCGGAGTTGACGCCTTGTCTTCAAATTTACATGAATGAACATTAAAGGTAAAGCACACGTGATATTGAGATAATTTTACAAATATTTAATGGACTTGTATGTGCCTCACATTGAGAAGAGGTCACCGTGGGTGGCGGAGTCATGCATCCCATCTAATATGGCATTTTGGCCTTTTGTCACTTCATTTAACCATTTTAAAGATTAATTTCAATCATTATTGATCTAAATTTACATTTTTGTGTTCCATTTGTTGGTACCATCAAGGATCTCAAGTCCATTTCGTGGGCGGAGTTGACGCCTTGTTTTCAAATTTACATGAATGAACATTAAAGGTAAAACACACATGATATTGAGATAATTTTACAAATATTTAAGGTTATCACTAATTTTGAAAAGATTTTGATACTTTAAAATTGAGTAATTGTATCTTTGTATATACATGTACATGTATCTATCAATAATAATAGTGCTATTATTATTATAATAGTATTAATGATAATCAATTCGAACCTGACCTAATTTATATTACAATGATAATAATAACAGTAGTATTAGTAACGCGGTAGCGTTACTAAGTAGGATTCACCCCAAAACAATATGGCTGCCACGACTTTTGCAGCCTTGCTATACCGGGAAAACGAGCTCTTATGCTTACCAGACTTCTTAGAGGACCTTATCTTGATCAGAGGACTCCATTGGTACCACTAGCGTGGCTCTAGACCTTGTGTAAGAGAAAAGTCAAAAATCAGCAAAACGGCCGTTTTGTTCAGTCCACTTTTTTTCATCTTCATCTCCTGTCAATCCAGTTGTCGGTGTGTATCTGAATATTGGCTGGTGCCAGAAGGTTAATTCTTACACCATTCTACTTCAACAGTCTATACGCAGGTCCATGTCCCATCAGATCATTCTCCACGAAAGGAAGAAGTGATACTGTGACTGTTGGATCTGTCCAACTTACCTCGTGCCGCCATTTTGTTAATTAAAAGAAACATGTGCTCAAAAATTTGGGTGTGGTCGCGCATGCTCAGATGTCAGAACTGGGAAAAGGGAGCAATTTTTTTAATCTAGCTATGCTTGGATCAACTGCAATACTTAG